AAAATTTTCGCAAAGGAAAAAGTTGCTTCAAATGACCTCAGGAATCTCCCATTTCCGGATTGCGAGACATTTTTGAGACACTCTGTATATTAGTATTATAACTATATTATTATAGTTATTTGTTATATATTAGTACTATAACTATTTTATTATAGTTATTTGTTATATATTAGTATTATAACTATATTATTATATGTTATATATTATATATATAAAAGGTGTACGAACCCTTTTATGGGCCATGATATACGTAACAGCGTACAATAAAAATGTACAATACGTAAGAAAATATAATAAAAATACAATGTTACATAAATAATAAAAAAGTTCTAATCCGTTAGTTTCCCTAAACTAATCAGACGTCCGGGATAATGTCGATTGTCAGACAGAATCGATAGCCGCCGCGTTTTATTTAAACTCGAGTGATAATAATTCTGACGCGACTCGGCCGACACTGTGATTCTGATAAATGTTATTGGAGCACATTCGATTCGACATACGCTTCGAAATATTTTATTAGCTAATGAATTCGGGATCGCGCAGTCGATATTAAAACGTATTTGGTATGTGTTCCGGCGGCGTGTGCACGTCATCGCCGGCTAAATTACGAGCGTCTGCACTCTTTTATTTGCTTACGATAATTCAGTTTTCAGCATAATTGATAGTAGCATTCTCTATGTCGGTAGGATCGTATTTTTACGATATCTATTGGTTACAATTTTTCGGGGGCGTCGTCGCAGATTCAAACGTTTGCTCGGTAATACGAATGGTTCGTGAATTTTAAACAATTTCGAGAAATAATTTCGTCGTTGAAATTTTGTGTAAAATTCGAACAATGTTATTAATACTAACCAGATGCGTTAGAGTCTATCGTATTATTGTTAATTGTTGATGAAGTTGTCTCGGTAATTATTTATCGGTTTGTTTTGTTATTTATTTTATTTGTTGATAAAATTATCTTAGTAATTATTTATCAGTTTGCTTTAGTATTTATTGCTAATTTTTGATCAAGTTATTTCGGCAATTATTCATCAGTTTGTTTTATTATATATTGTTAATTTTTTAAGAAGATATCTCAGTAATTATTTATCAGTGTATTTTATTATTTATCGTTAATCGTTGATGAAGTTATCTCAGTAATTATTTATCAGTTTATTTTATTATTTATTGTTA